ACAAAAAAAAAAAAAAAAGAGAGACATTTATTTCCCTACAAAATCATAGAAAGAAGAGGAAGAAGAAGGAGAAAAAGGGGAGGGAGAGCAGAGGAGGAGGAAGAAGAAAGGGAAGAAATGAGGGAGGGTGGGAGGGAAGGAAGGAAGGGGAGAAAGAAGAAATGAAAGACAGGAAATAACCCCTCAGGCCGGCCCCTCGCAGGTGAGCAAGGACTCAGGGGAACTGGGAAGGTCCCCGAGGCCACTGGCCTGGAGGGCGTGGCAGGAAGAGGTGGCTGTTGCTGTATACCCCGAGGCCTTCACCTTCCGCCTGAATCTCAGCACTGAGAGACCTTGGCACAAAGGGTGCTGCGACAGCGGTCAGGAAATAAATTTGATTTTCTGAGTTCTCTGGCAGCTGGTGACAAAGGGCCAGGTAGGGCACCGCAGCAGGAGTGGGCTCTGCAGAAGGCACATGGGGCCCCGTGTCACCAAGGTCGAGGTCGGACCCCAAGCATTCCGACACTGTTCTCCTCTTCAGCCTGCGATGCCCAGGGCCTTCTGCAGGGGCCACAGCACAGGAGACTCTGAAAGCTAAAGTGAACACATCACCAGATGTCAGTTCACCCCTTGCTGCATTTAGGCTTTGGCTGGGGTATTGCAGGGTTCCCTGGGGATCCCCCATTTGTGAAAGGCCTCAACTCCCCCTTGCTCAGGTAGGAGTGATGCAGCACTTTGGGAGGCTGAGACAGGAGGATCGAAAGTTGGAGCCCAGCCTGGACAACTTAGTGAGACCTTCTCTCGAAAAAGGCCTGGGTTCAATGCCAAGTACCCGCTCAAGAAAAAGTGCTCCAGCCACTTTGAATGGAGGACACCCTGTTGCCTTTATTCCTGGGATTCTATTCTGTCCTTCCTGAGACTTGTCTGCCTGTCCCTGAAACTTTCTTCAGGGCAGTACTGGGTCTTACTCCTCCTTCAAGGATGACCAGAAGGGTCAGAGTCAGAGAGAAGAACCCCTGGTAATGATGCTGCTAGGCCTCTCAGGCAGGAATTAGGGCTTCATTCATTCACTCATTCATTCGTTTATTCACTAAGCCTCCCCTCGCCCTGCCCAGCACTGATCTTTCCAGAATGCTCTGACTTCCTTGGCTCCCACCGCCCCTCAGCACCCTCCGAGTCTCCCAGGACAGTGAGGACTTTCTCCCAGCCAGGCACTTGGCCCTCACCTCTGGAGGCACACGCTGGCATCGGATTTCTCACACCACTCCGGGACATCCGGCAGCCACCACCTCAGACACTGGCTGAACTTCCATCCCCTTCCTTTCCTGTCCAAAGTGGGGCCGTCTACAGTGTGGATTTTATTCCTAGGGGATGTTGGGGCTCCAGCAAAGCAAACTTGGAAAGGAACAAGATGTACTAACATCCACTTACTAAGCCCCTTCATGCTCCGTTGGTGCAAATCTGTAATAAAACGAAGCGCAGTATTTACCAGCTATTAAACTCCTGCTTATAAAGGGACATACTTTTTAGTGCAGAACTAGGAGCCTCTTTTTTTTCAACTTCTATTTTTTTGTCAGTACATGTTTGTGGCTTGTGATGATCGTGTTCCTTTTCGGAGTTGGCTCCTGCGCAGAGCACACCTTGTTCTCTTTGTATCCCCCTCCCTTCCTCTACCTCTGGGTCCTCTTCCCTTTCGTAAAACACTTACCGCCCTATTTCCTATTATCTATCTTTTATTTTGCTCTTTATCTTTTGGGTTTTTTCACATAAAAGAAACCATGGGGTATTTAAGCTTGTGCATTTGATGTATTTCACTGAATATTATGGTCTCAAAGTGCATCCATCTTCCTATATGTGACTCAGATTCATCTTTCTTCATGGCAGAGTAGTGCTCCATTGTGTGTAAATGCCACACATTCTGTATCCATTCATCTGCTGATGGACATACAGGCTACTTCCAAGATTTAGCTATCATGAGTGGTGCTGTTATAAACATGGGTGTGTGTGGATCACTGTGATAGGTCATCTTTAACTCTTTTGTGAAGATACCTAGAAGAGGACTAGATGGGTCCAATGGCATTTCTAGTTTTAGTTTTTGAGGAATCTCCATAGTGATTCCCAGGGTTTGTACTACTTTACATTCCAAGTCTCTTGCCAGACTAATTCCTCCTATGGCTGTGTACGTCCTTGCAGATCATTCTATTTGACTATTTCTCTCAGAACCAACAACCCTGACAATCACACTGAAGTCTCCTGCTTCTCACCAAGGAGATCTTCGGGAGCTCTCTTCCCTGCTGGATGCATTTCCTTCCAGGTTGTTCCCTATTTAACTTCAGTTCACCACAGGACCTGTGTGTGTGAGCAAAGATCTCTGTGTGTGAATCTGGTGATTGCCATTGGCAGCAAAAAGCCTGGAAATGAAGTGAGACTCTAAACACACATCAAGCACCTAGGAGTTCCAGAAAGATACATGATTCTCCATGCAGCATGGGGACAGCTCCTGACAAGTGCTTGTCTGTGTCACGTGAACGTGTGTGATGCAGGAATGTCATGCTCATGCTCACAGATGTAGAGTCTAGAAGGTTCTTTCCACCACTGCCTTCATTATCTCTGGTCACAAAATGAGTGACCACACGCTTAGTGGCTTGGAGCAACCCAGATCTGTCATCTCGCAGTCTCACTAGTCTACATCCATGCTCATTTTTGGGTCTCTGAGAAGGCTTTGATCCCAGTGTGGGCCGAGGCTGGGGCCTTATCTGGAGCTTGGCCCAGGAAGGATCCACTTTCGGCCTATGTGGCTGTGGACAGCACTGGGGATTCTTTGTAGGTTGGGCTGAGGTTTTGTCACCTGGTGGGCCGTCACCCAGAGGCTACTGTCAGCTTCTGCCATAGAGATCTCTCTGTATGGCATCCGACCCCACCAAAGCCTGCATGGGGGCAGTCAACAGAGAGATGGGTGTCAGACCAGTGAGATGGGCATCACACCTTATGCAGTGTGACTATGGGGGTGACATCCTCTGTGTGTCCCTAGAAGCAAGTCACTGTCCTGCCCACACCTGAGGGGAGAGCATTCCAGAGGGGCATGGATACCAAGATGCATGGACCACGGGAAACCCTTGGGGTCTACCCATCACATCATTCCACCCACAAGCACCTGAAGCCCTACCGGGATATGTCCTGGTCATGATCTCAGTAAAGCTGGACCCAAAGCTAGCATCTTGTGTCAGTCAACTTTCTGTCTCTATAACAAATACCTGAGGACATCAATTTATAAAGAGAAGAAGTTTATTTTGGCCCCCAGTTTCAGAGGTTCCAGGTAATGATTGATTGGCCTGCACAGAGAGGGAACATGACACTGTGCACCTCATGGCTGGGAAGCACAAGAGAGGATGAGGAAGACGAAGTGACTAGGGTTGGGTCTTAGGGCACAGGGCACGCCCCCCAATGACCTAAAAGCTTCCCCCCAGGCCTGGCCTCTTAAAGGCTCCACCATCTTCCAGTGGCTCCACACTGAAGACCAAGCCTTTATCACACAGACCTTTGGGATCACTGATGATCCAAGCTACAGTGCATTCTCCACAACACAAGTTTAAATGGCGTGAAGGCCCAGGTCCTGAAAAGCAGTCTTTGATTATCTTGATTGACTCCACCCCTTCCCAAAATCACTGTTTCCCCACTAAAGAACTCAAGGAGCCACAGGTCAGTCCCCTGGCCTTACAAATATTCCAAACCAAAGTGGTAGGAAGTTTCAGGATCAAAGAAATAAAAAATTTTAAGAACTGGGGGGTTTGCTTAGTCCCCAACCCTCCCCAAACCCCTTCCCTGGGGTCTAGAAAGGGGTCAAGCTCATGATGACCCAGCCTGATTCTCTTTCCAGTCACCAAATTTAAAGCAGTTACAGAGAATGTATGGATTTGAGGGGCCAGGACTGCAGACTGGCTGGACAACGGGTCTCAAGACTCTCACTTCTGTCCCCACCCAGGCTCTGATTCCCCAGGAAAACAAACAGCCACATTCCTGATCTCAACAGGCCCCCTGGCCTCTTAAGAGAAAAGGTGCCAGGATCCTGAATTCTGGACCCGCCAAAGCTGCTACCATAGCTGATTGCCCAGCACGAACACATGGCGAGGGTGGGTGCAGTGTTGTGTAATTGTCCTTGGCTTCACCCCTGTAATTTCAGTAAGATTATAATTTCTGCCTCGAGGGGTGGAAATGAAGTCTAATTTAACATGAAGTGTGTGTATGTGTGTTTCTGGGTCCAAGTTTGTCTCACACAATCTATCTCCTTCCGCTCTGCCTGTTTACCTGTCTACACTGCAGATAAAATGTGGATTTTTCTGGCCTTTCTGTGTTTGGCCAAATTATCTCCTGGTGAAGTCACCCCATTTCCCCCTCCACCTGCGCTCTTGTGGTGGAGACTCCAGGTGTGTTCTCCTCCCATTGTCCTCGGAGCGAGGGCTGGGCCATTTGTCCTGGGTGTAGTGTGCTCCTATCCCTCCCTGGAGTGGAGAGACCCAGATCCCGGCTCGCTCAGACACTGGAGGGGCTCTCGTCCAGCCAGCCAAGGTCTCCTGAGCTGGACTGCTTTTGAGTTTTACCTCTGGGACCCATATGGACTTTCTTTTCTTTTCTTTTTTTTTTATGCTACCGGGATCGAACTCTGGTCCTTGCACTTCCACAGCAGGCAGTGAAACCACTGAGCTAAATCCCCAGCCCTGGGCTTTCTGAAGGTGTTTGCTTTCCAAGAGAAAAACACTGGAATGCGTTTTATTTTTTCGAGACAAGGTTTCAACATGTAGTTAGTCCAAGCTGGCCTTGAACTCTTTGTATCCCAGGCTGGCTTCCAACCTTCGATCTTCTTGCCTCAGCCTCCCACGTGGTGGGATTACAGGTGTGTGCCACCACATCTGGCTTCCAACAGAAATAAAGTTCAGAAAAATAGCCATCGAATCATTGGGGAAGAAAAAAAGAAAGAATGTTTGTTTTGCCAGTGAGATGATCTCTTTGGGATTCACAGCCGATGCGGTGGGACTGTCTTTATTTCAGAGTAAGGTAGATGCAAGCGGGTTCACAGCACATGTGCACTCACTGGCCTCTGCATTTACTGAATGTGGCCTCTCTGGAAAGTCTCTTTCACCCTGTAGCACCAGCTTCTCCCTCCCTCTCTCTCTCTCTCTCTCTCCTCTCTCTCTCTCTCTCTCTTAGCACTGGGGATTGAATCCAGGGCCTTTGCACTGAGCTACATCCTTGGCCCTTCTTTTACTTTTGGAGACTGGGTCCAGCTATGTAGCCCAGGCTGGGCTCAAACTCTCCAGGGCATGTGCTACCCCGACCAGCAAATCCTTGCTTTCAGGAGGATCCAGGAACCCGGCAAAAAGGCAGCACGGGGCTTCAGAGCACTCTGGGAAAGCAGGAGGAGATGGTGGCCCATGGTCCCAGGTGCTGCTCAGCACTAACACTGCATCCAGACCACAGGCTAGGGCTTGGTGGAGCTGTCGCCAAGTCCCTGTGAGGAGGGTCCTGTTACACGCATCTCACAGAAGGAGAAACTGAGGCATGGAGGTGAGTGCTGGAGACTCTGCTTCGATGCAATTCAGCACCCTGAGCATTGCTGCTAGGGCACACTGGAAACAGAGAGAGGGGTGGGGTTGGGACAGAAATGCGAGTTAGTGAGATACAGGGGGAACCAGAGGTGTCCTGAAGTGTCCTGCGTGCATGGGTTCCAGGAGGCCGGAAGGGTGGGGTAGGCACAGCAGATCATGGGGCGCGTGGGCAGAGCTGTGTGTGGGGCCTGGGGCAGGAGAAAGGGGCTGAGTGGGCAGCAGACACCACAGGTGAGGGCGGGGCTGCCTGCCCAGAGCAGGAACCGACCTGGGAAGCTGGACAGAGAGCACCTGCCCTCCAGACACTGGCAGCTGCAGCAGTGTCTGAGGTAAGCCCCTGCCCAGCTGGGTCCAGGTTGTCACCCTCTCTGCTGTCGGTGTCAGTTTCTCCAGCAGCTCTGCGCCATTTTGAGCAGAGGCTTCTGGGAGTTGCTACCTGTTCTACCTGGGAGGTGGTGGTAGCTGCTTCTCAGCCTTCGCCTCACTGGTCCCCAACCAGCCTCTGTTTGCCTCCTGGAGGATGCCAAGTGTTCAAGGCCAGCCCAGGCTACATAGCAAGACCCTGTCTTGAAAAATTTAAAAACATGAAACAAAAATCCCGGAGTGATGTACAAAATGTAGAAAAAGAAATACAGAGTTAGGACACATTTTTTAGAAAGGACCATAAGGGAAATAATGTTAAGAATGGTAAGGATAAGGGGCAACTTTGAAGACTCAGACACAGTGAGCCAGAAGGGACTTGAGTGGCCTGGTCTCAGAACACCCATGTTTCTTAACAGGCACTGGGGCAGTACACTTTGCAGTTTTTAGTTGGAAAAAATGAATTTCTTTTAGAAGTTTATCTGTGGACTTCTACTTCTACTTCCAAAAATGATGTAGGAGTCAGCAGCGAGGGAAGGGAGAGAACCCTGGCATCATGGGGCCAGCTCTGGGTGGCGTGGCCTCCTCTCTGTGTCCCCTGAGGGTGCAGGTTGCAGGGTCCCTCTTGGGGCTGACTCTGCGCTCTCTGGGGAGCCCAGCCCTGCCCTCTTGGCTTCTTGCAGGAGCCAGTTTGCCTGCCCTGTGTATCTCGTCCTTTCCCTGACCAGACCCTGAGCCACCCTGGTAGGGACCGAGTCTCCCTGGCTCTGTGCTGTCCTAACCCACAAGGATCGATGCATAACAGCTGCCCACCAAGATGGCCAGGAGGAGGGAGACACAGAGGATAGGAAAGGAGAAGTGACCTGTCTGAAAGTTTTCTTCCTGGCCCTTCCTTGTGTCCTCTGAGGCTGGTGGACAAAGTTGAGTCTGAGAGGGCAGCATGTCTCCATGCCACTCCCTATTTTCAGTTTCTGTGGGCTTTCTGGCGTCAGACCGGATGGGGCCATCCTGCCCCACTCAGAGCTCTGGGGACATCTTTAACATCACAAGCAGCTTCACAGGCAGCAGAACCCACCCGGCCCCAGGTCCAGGCCACCTGGGGTTTGGTGGTTGGATGCTTCTCAGGCCCTTTGAACTACAGTAATGTCCGTATCATTTCTTAAGTGGCAAACTCAGTCGTCCGTCCAGATGTTTTGTCTTTGAGGACTAAGTATCCTGCTCTCTGGGAACACTTGTAGATTAAAATCTTTATCCTGGAATCTACTGATCTGAGAATGTCCTCAAAATGGATACATAATGTTCGGCTGCCTGCAACCCCAGCACTCAGGAGGCTGAGGCAGGAGGATTGCAACAAGTTGGAGGCCAGCCTGGGCTACTTAGTGAGACCCTGTCTCAAAATGCCAAACAAAGAATTTTAAAAATGAATTTCATGAATAGGATCATTGAGACAGGGACTGTTGTTGAAGGAAGTTAGAGTTTTGGTGGCACTCAGTGTGACATCTCACGCCTTGGAGTCAGACCTCGGCTCCTCCACCTGGGAAGGGTGTCATCAGTGCAGCCTCCAAGATCTGCTGGGTGCTGGAGTCCTGGCCCTGGGGGGTTGGCCCTGCATGGAGCCAGGGGCAGAACATGCTCTGGACACCCGAGTCAAGGGTCTGGAAAGCTGATGGACAAGTGTGTGCCTTGCTTGGCCAAGCAGATATAATGAGAAGGGAAAATAAACAAAAGAGAAGATGATGATGAGATTCACAGAGTAAGTGGCCTACCTAGAGGTAGGTACATGCAAACAGGGTTAATCTTTGTACTGGTCTGAAACTGAAGATATGTAGATGAGTATATAGGGACCCAGATAAAGGAGTCTTTTCCTCTGTTTGTTTATTTATTATTTATTTTATTTTTGAGACAGGGTTTCTCTATGTAGTGTAGGCTGGCTTTGAACTCACTATGTAGCCATGGCTTTCAAAGCCTCTCTACAGATGCAGTGATGAGAGGGCAGAGCCAGAATCGCCCAGCTGAGCCCTTCCTGAATCTGGTCCCACAGGTTCCATATCAGGTATTCAAACAATGGCTATTGCATGCTGCTGTGATCAGAGTGGTTTGCTGATAAGTCATAGGAACATCTGGAGCAGTGCAGATGCAGAGGCAGACCAAGGTCCATTCCAGTACAGCCTCCTATAATGATGGAACCCTATTGTCACACAAGGGCTCCCTCATGAGGAGCTACATTGGCCATTAGGGAGCTTTTGGTGTCCTGCTCATTTGATGACTAGGAAAACAAACACTGCATCATGGCCTACCTGATGGGCCGACAGGATCCTACTTCTTGCACTTCTTTCAGTTAACAGAAGTGAACCTTCTCCTGCCCCAGTCATCAGCCCTTCTGATGTAGAATCTTTTATAATAATATTTCAATAAGAAGCTGAAGGGGTGGGGATTTAGCTCAGTGGTTCTGCCACCAGCCTGTCAAGTGCAAGGTCCCAAGTTTGATCCTGGTACCAAAAAAAAAAAAGAAAATGAAGACGCTGAACACTAATTGCATCAAAATGAGTTTATGGACTTTCCCTATTGAGATCCCCACAGTAAATGGAGCCTCACTTTCTCTTTGTCTGTCTCTGTCTCTCTCTCTCTCTCAATCGTGTGTGTGTGTGTGTGTGTGTGTGTGTGTGTGTCCTTAGCTTCACGCCAGAATAAGAACTGCCCCAGACTGAGAAATGAAGTTGGATATAGGGAAAGAGGCTGCTGCTTGGGTAACATTCCTGAGATGATGGGTTTGGAAACTGGGCGGGCCAGAAATTTCCTGGAAGGTTTATTTTTGCTGAGTTTGATGCCTGACCTCTGCCCATGAGAACTTTAGGATGATGGCGGTTGCAGCTGCCCCTGGCCTGGCAGGAGGCTGTCTCTCGCCAGCTCAGAGTCGTGGTCTGGCTCCCCATCACACTCAGTCACAGAGCTTCTACAACTAACAGCAAGTGGGGGCCAGAGAGACGCTGTGTGGCCCAGATGCAGGGCACAGGAACCTATGAGGGCATCTAGATCTCAGCTTTCCCTGGGAAGCCCCTGCCCTGCCCACCTGTCCCCCACCCACCTCCATGGGGCACTCTCGCCACTGGGACCCCCTCTCTTTTTCTGTACTGGGATTGGACCCAGGGCCTTCACACTGAATTACATCCCAAGCTCCTTATTTTTTATTTTAAGACAGGGTCTCACTAAGGCACTAAATTGTCCAGGCTGGGCTCAAATTTGCAATCCTCCTGCCTCAGCCTCCGAGAGAGCTGGGATTACAGATGCGCACCACCATACCTAGATTCTATTATACCTTTCTTAAACATGAGGAAACTGAGGCACAGAAAGGTAAACCCTGGGCCCCAGGTCATCCAGTTGTCATGAAACAGCTCTGAGACTGGCTGACACTCATGGGAGCCCCAGGTCCCAAGCAGGAGGTTAAGGGACCTCTGGATACTGTGGGAGGGCCAGGTCTGAAGGGAGGCTCGTGTGGGTGGAGGGTCCTTCCTGAGCATGTACTCACAGTGGGCTGCACATGTGAGTGTGCCCTGCCTCTGCCCCTAGGAACTTCAGTGTCCAGGAGAAGGGTGAACCCCACCAGTGCCAGGTGCCACACAAGACATGCAGCCATGTGAGCTGGGTGTGGAGGTGCCCACCTGTAACCTCAGCACTCAGGAAGCTGAGGCAGGAGGATTGCTGGGAGTTCAAGTCTAGCCTGGGGTACATAGTGAGACCCTGTCTCAAAAAAGCCAAACCAAACCAACAAAAATGCAGCCACAGGCCCTGATCTCCTCTCCATTTTCATGATCAACAAACGGACCCTTTCTGAAAGCAGAAGTTACAAAACGCTGGTGCCAAGGCACTTAAGTCTCAGTGGGTCCCTGATGGTGTCTCCTTGCCAAAGCTTACTTTTTCCCATCTCTGTTTTTGCTTGTGTCCTCCTTCTCAAGTATCTTTCAGCCCTCCACCCCTTCTAAACCCTCTCTCCTTCAAGGCAGGACACTTCCTCCAGGAAGGCAGCCAGACCTCCTAGCAGGATCTGCTGTCCAGCAGGGCCCCCCCCCCGCCCCCCGCCATCAAACCAGCTGTCCCAGTTTGTCTGCAGCTGGGCTTCATTTCTAATGCAGTGTCACAGCCACCACAGAGCTCAGCTTACATCACCCTGAGCTGCACAGGCACAGATGCCAGAGGTTGGTCACAGTCCAGGTGCCACATGGTCAGGCTCTCTGCTCGGGGTCCCCGAGACTGCAGTCCAGGTGTTCACAGGGCTGAGAAGCCCGGATCTAAGTTTATCAGCTGCTGACAGTGCTCTTTCTGGCCATGCCGGGCAGTCCCCCTCCCTTGTCAGCGGCCAGCCAGGGACCTCTCTCAGCTCCAAGGGGCCACATATGACCCTTGAACTCACAACGTAGCTCAGGCTGGCCTCGAACTCACCACCATCCTCCTGCCTCAGCCTCTTGAGTGCTGGGATTATGGGTGTATATCCATGTCTGGCTCAGATATTATTTTTAACTACACTGAAGCCAGTGGGGTGCTCGAGACAGGCACAGTGTACGAGCCCATCTCTCAGGCTGCCTGAACGATCCCTCAGTCCCCTGGTGCTCTCAAAACTGTTTTCCAGTGCTGCTGTCCAACCTAGGTAACTGAGCTCTCCTCTGAAAATTCCTTTGGTAATTTAGTGCAAGAAACACATCTTCCTTCAATTTAGCGCTTTTGGGTGGTATCGCGGTACAGATGTTAAATATTTTCTGCGTGTGACTTCGGAGGATAGGGGGTGGGTCAGCAAGTCTGGATCCTTTGAACATCTTAGGGCTCTCTGGATGAAAGGTGCATGTTGAGCGTGGCATTTTGTAAAATTAAAAGAAAATAATTTTCTGCTCAGGCAACTGTGGGGTCTCAGCCAACCAGGGGAAGTCTTGAGCCGTCCGTGTGCCACAGAGCCTGGGCTTTTTGGAAAACATCTGGAAGCAGCACATCCAACTACATACACGGCCAATCAAGTATGAAGTTGTTTATTGGGGAATTCCTCAGTTTCAGGCCATTTCATTGCAAAAAAAAAAAAAAAAAGGCTTCTTCCAGTGCGGACTTGTACTACAGAGAGAGAATGCATGGGGCTTCATTGTTCCAATTAAAATAATTTCAACTCGAAATGATTCTTACGGAACAACACACAGAGACAAACAAAAGCCACCTAGACTTCCCCTGCTCCTCTTCCTCCTCCCAAAGTACACAGCTGCAGCCTTGAAGGGGGATTTACTGCCTTTGTCCCGATCCTGCAAACCAGGTGGTCACACAACCAGCAAACCAGTGACAATTACAGACGTTACAATTTTCTACTTCGCTGCCATAAATAAACACTGAGTTTGGGCAGAGGAGGATGGAACATCCGCAATGAGAATAGAAAAGGAAGACAAACAGAATCAGGTCCCAGGATTTAGACTGGGCCCTAGGAAGCTCCAGGGATAAAAAGAAAAGAGCCAGGTTGCACTGCCTTCCCCTGCTTTCCCTCCCCTTCCCTCTCCTCCCCCTCCCTTAGCACAGCCTTCCCAAGGAAAGATCCCTTAATCCCCAGGCTTGCTGGCGCTTAGCGAGCTGTAACAGGCCCTGACAGGGACGCAGTGACCTCCGTGATAAATCACCTTCCTCTGCCTCTGGGGAGAGAGACTTCCCTCCCTGCCCCACCCGCTAACCCTTCCTGGAGATATTTAGGGAGTTGCAGTGGAAGGGAAATGAAAGGGAAAAAACTTTTTTTTTCAGCTCGGTTTATCAATGTGGATTGTATTTCCCATCCTGAGGGTCAGTTTTGGAAAGAGTTCTCAGATCCTCTGGTTGTTGTTTCAAAGGAAGCCCCGCCCTCAAATGACTTGGATGTCATTTACGGCGAGCTTTTAAAGTGATTGTTCCTGGCTGTCTCTGGGCTGGAGAGGACTTTGCAGGTCATGGAGTAGAGGGGTGGCTTTCCAAGGTGGGTGACAGTCTGGGGTTGTGATGTGGCAGACTGGGGTGGCCCCTGCCTGTGGGGAGCTGGCAGAGCAGATTGTTGGGGTGCTGTCCGGAAGCACACATGGTCTGAGCTCCCCAATCTCTACGGCCCCCATTTACAGAAGTGAAAACTGAGTTCCAGACACGGTTCGGGGTGGCACGTGCCTGGAATGCCAGCACTGGGGAGGCTGAGGCAGGAGGGTCACTATGAGTTCAAGGCCAGCCTGGGCTGCATAGTGAGTTCAAGGCCAGCCCGGACTACATAGCAAGAGCCTGTCTCCAGGAAGAGAAAAAAAATTATTTCTGTTGTTTGTTCATTATTATCAATAATGCTGTGATAGAACACCTTTATATTTGTTTTGTTTCGTATCTATAAACTTGTAGAAAGATAACTGGAATCGGGACTACTGGGCTGAAGGGCAGGCTCACTTTTATTTTGACAGAAACTGCCAAATTGCATTCCTAGGGGGAGAGAGACCATCACAAGTAGGGTTGGAGAACTGGGACGAGAGGTCGCACTTGCCAGTGGGCTGGAAACAGAGTCTTGGCGTGTGTTTGGGGTCCCCTGTGGCTCCAGGCGTCACCCATTAGTAGCTGCAAGGTGAGGGACAGGGTGCCTGAGGCAGGGACGGGTGGCCAGGTCGGCAGGGTCTGCTGAGAGGGGCGGGTCAGTAGCTGTTTCCGGGTGTCACCGACATCCTGGAAAACCTGGTTTCGATTCTATGCTCCTGCAGGGGTACGAGGGTGTCCCTTAGGGTGCAGCGCTGCTCGGTCTAGCCTCACAGTAAGCTGTCCTGTGCAGCAAGCGTCTCTATTGTTCTTTAAGTGCCCCTGGCGACGTTTTTATGTTCCTCCCCCAGAGGAAGTTGGAGCGCCTGGCTTCAGTGGCCAATTTCACTTCCTGCTGACGAAGGACTGCACCATCCCTCTCCAACCCGGGCTCCCAGCTCTTTGGGTTAATGTTTGGGTTTTACAAGAGAAAAATGGAGGCTCTGGGATGAAAGTGGGAGAGGAGACAGTGGGAGGGAAAGCGGTGGGTGAGAGACAGCCTCTCTTCCCATGCAGCGGCTCCCGGGCGACCTCCGTCCAGCGAGACACCGCAATGTGCAGAGGGCACACGGAGCACGAGGGCAGATGAAGCCGTGGGCGGAGATGCGCCATCGCCTCAGAGCAGCCACCCGGGTGCGCGCCTCAGTGTCACGGCGCTTTGTGGACGGACCCTTGGCAGGAGAGGCGCTGGGGTCCTGAGGGGTCTAGGCTGTCCTCCTGCTTGGAGCGTCTTGTCCGTACCTAGGGTCGTCCTCTCAGACGCAGATCGTGTCTGTTCAGCATCACCGTGCTCACCCCTCTGTCTCCACAGCAGGGGCTCCGTGGGGAGGGACTCTGTTTACACCTGGAGCCCCACACACCAAGGACCGCGCCTGGCACGTTGTAGCTGCTCAGTCAACGTTTGCTGAGGGATTGAATGACCGTCACGGGCTTGTAGGTTTGTGGCCTGTTCCCCCCCCCCCCCCCCACAGAGGAGGAAGTTGGATGCACAGTGCAGTTAGAGGTGTGAATGGAGCCAGGCACCAGGTGAGGAGACAAACAGAGATTAGCGGCCCAGTGTGTGTGTGTGGGGGGGTAGTCTTGGCACCAGAACAAAGACCCGAATGACACAGCCCTCAGGAATTCAAATAATTCTTTCCATCATTCACTGGACCCCCTCCAAAAACCCCAAAAGAACGCTTTCAAATGTTGAGGCAGAACAAAAGTAGGGTGATTGTTTATGATCTTTGGTCTTCTTTTTTCAGACCCTGCAGCTGAGTGAGCAAAAACAACAGGCTCAGTCCTAGAGGGCGGTGCAGGCTCCCCAGGTCGTGTTCACCCAGGCTCACCGGATGTGAGACCAGCGGGGAGCAGGGACGACCTGCAGGGGACTCAGGGGCGCTGCTCTATGGTGGCCTGGCCAGGGTCAGAGGGCGCTGGACACGGGGCCTGCAACCCCAGCTAGGCCGTGCTGGCGCCCGGTTAGGCTTTCATTCCAGAAGGGTGTGAGCTCCGCGGGGCAAAAGCACCTATCTGAGCGGCAGGATATGGAGATGTGATCCGACTGTGTTTCCCGTGTCCTTCCGGGAGGATGGCCAGGCCCCCGGGCTTGCTTGTCTCGGGACTCCGTGCCTCAGGACTGGATGCAGGGCCTTGAAGATCCTCATTCCTGGTTTCTGGCCTCTCTGAGAGAAGGTCAAGCAATCCGGTGCAGCAACAGCAGCCCTGAACGAAGGCTGCAGGAGAGGAGAGCACAGGACTGAGTCTGTCCCAGGGAAAATGAGGCCTTGGGCTTCATGCCCTTGCGAAACCCCAGGGTGGAGCAGAGCCTACGGAACGGGGAGTCCCAGCTTTGCATGGGCCACGTGGAAGGGCTGCAGGCCCTCAGGAACCTGGTCTGTGAGGTCTGGAAACCAACCATTGGAGTGGCTGTCACCTCTGCACGTGGACCTTTCCAGGGCCTCTGGACAAGCCTTTCACTGGGGACGGGAATGGTGAGTTCCTCCACCAACCCAGTGAGCTGGGTCTCCAGAGCAGAATCAGTTTGTTTTTAGAAAATGTGTGGTGGCGCACACTTGTCAATCCAGAACTCGGGAGGCTGAGGCAGGAGGATCACCTGGAGTTTGAGGCCAGCCTGGGCTACATAGTGAGACCCTGTCTCAAAAAACAAGAAAAAACAAGAGGAAAAATCACGTGGCATTGCTTTCAAGCTAGCCTTGTGGCATGCAGCTGGTACTGGCTGACACATCACAGTTTTGAGCTATCACCCTTGGGCCACCGTGGTAGATAAAGAACATCCCTTGGAAAGAATGAACCCTGAAACACCCAGCAGAAATCAGGAAATCACTGTCCTATTTTTGCCTCTGTCACCAACAAGCCTGTGACCTTAAGAAAGTCTCTTCCCCCATCTGTGCCTCTCATTTATTTATTGGTTAAACAAAGTGACAGGCTCCAAATTCCTGGTCCACATTCCTACAAATTCAGAATGGGTTTGGGAACTCAAAGAGTACGGAGACCATATTCTGGGGGAAGAATGTTGTTTTAGGGCCTGTTCCAGCCCTGTTCATTTCCACTTCAAAGCAACTGACTTTTTGGAAAAAGCAGCATTTCTGGGGGTGCAGAAGGCAGCCGGATAAATGTGACATTATGGCCAGTACCTGCTTCGAGCCGCTTCTCAAGCACTTGTAGTTTCTCTGTTGCATTTGGGTCCTCATTGTCCCAAGCCCTTCTTGGAGTTTTATTTTAAAAAGAAAAGCACCTCTGAGCAAGCCCTTTCCTTCTAAGCGCATCTTACCAGGCAGCACAGCATAAACACTGCTGTGTGAGGCTGCGTGTTTATGTTTTCTCGAGGACTTCCAGATCAGATTTGCTGTGTTTACAAGTTGGAGACACTTTTTCTAACCACAGGCATCACACACTGAAACGTGGGGCCCACACCCCAGCTGGGCTCCCTCTGTTCCCAGTTACCCAGTCCATGATGTAGGTGGGGTACTCTGCTTTGCAGACATAGATGCAGTCAAGGTGCCGAGTTCTTCCTCTTACTATTGTGACTCTGAGCCACAGGTCCAGGGCTGGGCACTGCAGAGGGGGCCCTCGAGTGCACTTTGAGGTTTCTCTTAAATCCCAGGAATGCCCACAGGCCCTAGGTGCTTCGGAGTTTGTATTCACCTCTTAGGGCACCCATTGGTGATGCACAAACTTCAAACATGAAGCCCTTGAAGCATTTCCTTTTTTGATTTTGGTTTTGGTCTTTTGAGACAGGGTCTCACTATGTCCTTCAAACTGGCCTTGAGCTCACTATGTAGCCCAGGCTGGCCTTGAATTCCCAGTGATCCTCCTACCTCAGCCTCCCTCGAGCTGGGATTACAGGTGTGAGCCATGATGCACGGCTTCTTCAGTGATCATAGGTGTATGAGGTTTGATTTCACCCGAATCATGTGTTCTTGTGCTACCCTGTCTCACATGGACACAGACCACACACACGTGCACATGTGCACGCATGATACACGCACTCTTCCTTCCCTCAGGTTTGATTGCAAATGCCTTATTGAAAGCTATTAAAATTTTTGTTTTGGAATTGAACTAAAATAATTCAGTAAAAATATTTTATTTTTAAATACAAAAAACCCCAGGAAGGATTCATACAGTTGTATTTTCACTACCATTCCTGAAACTCTTAGCCAGGGACCTCTGCAGGTTGTTGGTCTAACAAAGCCTTGACACAGGTCTAGGAGAGTTTTCAGAGTCTTGGCTCCAGTGCTTTTGCTGTGTGACCTCAGGACGGTCACCTCCCCTCTCTGGGTCACAGCTGCCTCGTGAAAGTGAAGGGCTGGGTCTGGGGGTCTCTGAGGAACCTTTCAGACCTGCAGCTCTTCATACAGGCATCACTCACCTTAGTAAAACCCAGCGCCCGAACAATTAATAAATAAAACCCACCTTCTCCAAATGCCTTTTGATTTATAAGGCAGAGCGATAAAGGTAAAACTGCTTGCATTATAAAAAATAATTTTTATAATTAGCTGCTTCGTTGTAGAAGTAATTTGATTTACAGGTACCTTTCAAAGTCTCACATATGAGTAACTGATAAAATTTCATCTTGCTGGACGTTCCGGGATGTTTCTTTATCCTCAGCAGCTGACCCTGCCACATCCATCACAGCAAGCCCAGGAAACATCCCCATAATGTCCCCCTGAAACAGCTAATAGGGGTGCTCAAATCGAGCCTAATGTTCACTCTGGTGAGCAGTCACTTTGAGAGCATGTGTGGCTTCCTCGTTATCATTTCATCTGGGCCATTAGCCACATTTGAAATACAAATCATCGTCCGTGTATGTCGCACCATCTTTCAGGAGGAAGGGCAGCCCTCACCTCAGAGCTTTTCACCATCCCAAGGGACAAGATGGGATCACTGTGCAGAACTGGGGCTACAGAGTCAAAGGGCCATAGAGGTGGACCTTGGGTGGGTCACTTCCCTCTCTGGGCCTTGGGGTCCTCATCTGTAAAGGGTCTGGGTCGCTGAGAGGGGCCCTGTGGCCTTGCTCTGGACTGCTTGCTTATGCACCACAAAACTCACGTGTTGAGCTTAACCCTAAATTTGATGGTCCCGGGCAGTGGCTGTAGTGGGGTAACGCGGTGTGTTAGACTATTCCTGCTGCTATAACTAAATACCCAAGAGTCAGCAATCAACAAAATTACATCCTTTTCTTCAGTTCTGGAGGCTTGGAAGTTCAAAGTGAAGATTCTGGATGTTTTGGCGTCTGGTGAGGGCTGCATTCTTCTTCCAAGATGGCAGCCGTTGCTGTGTCTTCACATAGCAGAACTTGGAAGAGCAAAAAGGCTTAACTAGTTCCCTCCAGCCTTCTTAGAAGGCATTAATCCCTCATGGGATTAGAAAACAGAACTCGTCGGGTCTAATCACTGCCTAAAGGCCCCACCTCTTCATATCGAGTTGGGGATTAAGTTTCAACATGGATTTTGAGGGGATGTAAACATTCAAGCCACAGCACGGGTCACGATGGTGGAGACCTCATGAATAGGATTAGTGACCTTTGAAGGGGCTGAGGGGCCAGAGCTCTCTCCTCACACCATATGAGGACACAGGGAAAAGAAACCAGATAAACCAGAAAGTGGGCCCTCACCAGTCACCAGGTCCGCCGGAACCTTCCTTACTCCTAGACTTCCCAGGCCCCAGAACAGTGAGGAAGAAATTCCTGTTAAGAAGTCACCAGGGTGTGGCACCTTGCTGTGGAGGCATGAAGGGACTGAGGCAGGCCTGGTGCCGTTCTACACCCTCTGCAGACACAGGGATGATTCTAGGGAAGCCATTCCTACCTGCGTTGTGATGGCTGGCTCACCCCAGTTGATGAGACCCCACTCCACATCCTTTGGCCTCAAAGAAAAGGATGGAGTGAGTGTGGTGTGAGCTCCAGGAGCCTCTCTGTCCTCCTACTACAAGAGCCCCCTGTCTATGCTGCACAGCGACCTGGTTTCATACCTATCTTTTGAGAGTCAGCACCTGCTTATGGGTAGGTGGGTGGCTGGGTCCCAGGGAAGAGGTGAAAGGACTTATTTTCTATTTTAAAATTTATTTTAAGACAGGGTCACTCTATGTTACTCCTGCTCATCTCCAACTCCTGGGCTCAACTCTCCTCCTGCCTCAGCCTCCTAAGTGGCTGGGACTGAAGGTATGAGCCACCACGCTGACTGGCTCTCTTGGGCTCTCTCTAATGAGCTAGGAAGGGGCTTTGCAACTTCTGGAGACAAAAAGTCTTTTTAAAAACTTAAGCAGGTGTAGTGGTGCACATCTGTAATCCCAGTGCTTGGGAGGCTGAAGCAGGCAGATTGCTGCAGTTTGAGGCCAGCCTGGACTACATAGTGAGACTGAGTCTCACAAAACAAAAGAAGAAGGAGAAGGAAAAGGAGGAGGAGAAGGAGAAGAAGAGGTGGCAGCAGCAGCAGCATGATATATAGTCTTCATATGAAACCCAGTACATACAATGGATAAAAGTGGCATTCTGCCAGCACACTTTCATTTTGTGTGCGCACGTTTTTAACACGCATTGTAAGCTCACCAGGAGATTGTTTTGTCTGATGAAGCTTCGCAGCTGTAGACTGTGGGTGACAGTTGCTGGGTCCTCAGCCCTGGCGCTGGATGAACTTCTGCTCTTTGCTTTGCCATGCGGCCCGAATGTCCTCGGAGGGACAGGCTCAGAACCCAGGTGGTGCGGACTCTGTTCTAGGCCTGCCCTAAACCGAGGCACGCACTCCATGGTGCTGGTTCCCAATGTGTGCATAACATAGGTATTTTGAAGGGGCATGCACGTTATTCCTTGTTTTAATAGAAGAGAAATATTTCAAGCCAAGAGCACAGGCTTATCTGTAACGTGAGTCGCCTGGGGGAGCGCGTAGGCTGTGGACAGGACTCAGGCAGTGCTGTAGGGTACGTGGGGACATGTTCGGGGCCACATGGAGGCTGGGGGGCAGGCCAGAGGGGACCCCGAGCCCTAACATGCAGCCGGCGGTTCTAAAACTTCACCAGACCCTCAGCTTCCTCCCTGGTGGTACCTATCCCTGTGTGGACGTTACTTTTGTTTTATTATTTTTTAACGCTCTTGCCTCTTTTAGGCTGGCTCCAGACCACACCTGGAAGTGTCCTTGGTGCCAGCGTGTCTCAGGGTATATCGGGCACTCTGAGGACACAGGGACAAATAGACCCAGGCCAGCCCTGATGGCTCTCTGCAGAAATGGACGCTCCTAGGCCTTTCACCTGGGAGAGGAGCAGCTCACGGTGGTCCTCAAATAGTAATTTTCATAGTGATTTAGTATAACTTGGTCTCAAAAAACAAAACAAAACAAAACACCCCCAAACCCCAAATCAGACAGAACACCTATTTTTCAACATCTACTTTCCTCTGAGATTTTTGGGCAGCAACTCCTTTGTGTAGCTCGGGTAAGATTTGTTTCAAGGTTCTTCCGCAGCCCCACCCCCACCGGAAGCGTGAGACTGTGCAGTTGAGGACAGCTGCTGAAGATTGATGACCCCCCTCTCTCTTTGTATTCCTTGGTTTCAGATCCCAAGCTGCTGTTGCAAAGAGACAAGAAGCAGTCGGGTCATGTGCTAGCAACATCACACAACTGAGGGAATTAAAAAAAAAAACAGACTTCTCTGGTATTTGTTGGTGAAGGCTGAAGCAGTAGGAGTAGGCTCTGGGGAAGGTGAGGAAACTAAGGAGCTGTGAGTGAGGTGCCTGAGCCAGCTCCAGTTTCTCCCTTCCCAGTGTCCTGCCAGTGGAGGGGGCTGCGTGTGCTGTTCTATCCATCCTTGGCTTGGGGCTTAGCAGGCAGTTTCCTGTCTCTGAGCTGGTCACAGCTTTTGGAGATACCTGGAGGTGTTAATGACATTGCCAATGTTTCACAGAGGCTCCAGGACCCCTGAGCTGCCCATGACGGACCGTGTGGGTCCACCAGGAACAGCTGCACGGGGACCGGAACCTCCACCCACTTGCCTTCCACAGCCTGTGCTTGTCTGCTTCCTACTCAAGGGACTTTGGTGGCTCTCTCTGAGCCCTGTGAGCCTCAGTGTTCCCATCTGTAGAATAACGACAGTGCCGTCCACCTCAGCGTGTCGTTGAAGCTGGCCCATAGGAAGCTCTCGGGAAAAGGCAGCTACTATTGTAATGGTCTGGACTCACGGACAATGAGGATGTGCATTATCACTTAAGAAAAGTAGCCTGTGGTGAACAGAAGTCTTAAACTCAAAGCTTAGAAGGGTTGGTGATGATGAAGGACTGGGTCCCTTCATCCCAGGTGACCATGACAGTTTGGGTTTTCAGTGGCCGTGGAGTGGACATCAGTGGAGGCTTAAAATTGTTTGTTTTTTTTGTTTTGTTTTTGGTACCAGGGATCAAACTTGGGACCTTGTGCTTTCGAGGCAGGCGGTGGAACCACTGAACTAAATCCCCAGTCCATACTTTTTTTGGGGGGGGCTTGAAATTTAATTGGGAAATGTTGATTTCATTCTTTGGGGGAGATTCTGCATATCTACTGCTGTCATACAACTCAAGCCCAGGGTATAGTGCAGGCCACATGCACTGTAATGACCTCCTTCAAAGCCACCTCTGTGTTCCCGAGATTGAAACCCGTTGACTGAAAGACCAGAACAATACCCTCTGTCATTCAATCAGGACAGCACTGTATTGATTCAGAAGTCACACACACACACACACACACACACACGCGCGTGAGCGCGCGTGTGCGCACGCACACGCACACTCCCCGGATGGTGATACTGGGGATCTGGCAAGAATGGGGAGGTTTGGGGACAGTTCACCTGGGAATGGGCCTTTTCCATCACACCAGCCCCCAGGTGTGGGTGGAAGTAACTTGGGACCAGGAAGCCCAGCTAGGATTTGGTTTAAGTCATCTTATTGCTACTCTTTGTTCTGGAAGCTCTTTCTGGGGAATATATTGAAACATGTGGCTTTTCTTTTTTTAAAAAATATACTGAATATCTTAAACTGCTCTTGAAATAGTCTTTAAAAATGATCCGTGTGTGTTTGCTGAAAACAGAGCCACAAAACTTAATATTTGGTTCCCAATTTCTTTCATGATAATATGTCCCATGACTTGAGGACTAGAACTGAGAGCCTAAAGTGGTTTCCCTATATACTGGGGGCCCCTGCAGCAATGCCCTGCTGAATACTGACCCCCCAAAATGTGCAGCACCCCCCTCTTTGGGCATGGATGCACCCCAGAAGGCAGAAATTTTAGGGTTTCTTTTTCAACCCCTAAAGAGGCTCCCATGAATAACAAGGTCTTTTTCTTCCTATAGTTCAAGACTTCAGCTTAAAAAAAAATAAAAAAGGGATAAATTCATTTTCTTCCCTCTAAGACACCTGAAATATAATAGCTCTTGGAAGGAGGAGGGGGGAACTAACTCGTTGAAATCCATTTCATGTTAGTCTTGACAAAAAGGAAAGGAATAGAGATTAACAATTCAAAAATGGAGCTTGTTAATTAA